AGGGTCACGGCACAGCTCCGACCGGCGGCACTGCCGGACGTGTCACCGCCGATTCGAGCCCACGCCGTAACCCCGCGCCACAGACCGCCTGACCTGGACAGCGACTTCCCAAGGGGGAGACTCGCTGCTGCCTCCTTGTCCTTTCCTCCCTGATGACGGGGGGCTCTCCTCTCAAACCCTCAGGGGGGCGGGGAGCATCTGCCAAGCGCCCTGGGTACTGCCCCTCGCCTCCCGGGCCCCTGCCTGCCTCCTGACTCTGCCCCGGCCCCCGGGCGGAGATGGACCGGAGCCGGTTAAATCAGAACGGATGGACTCGCCTCATCCCGTGAGATTAAAATTAAAAAATTCAGGGGTCACAGTCTCAGGACCGTGACAATGGGTGACTAGTGCCATCGGAGCCTGAAAGCCAAAGGGCCGGACAGAGCCGGGACCCCCCAGCCCCCTCGGCATCGCCGGGCGCCGGGCTTAACCTATAGCGATCATCTGTACTGCCCGTTCTTGGGAAGGGGGCTTTTGACCGGGATGCAGAAAGGCGCTCAGGGCATACCGGCAAAAAGTTACCTGTCCTGTCATCGCCCTTTCCCTTCAGAAAGAGGAAAGACCTAAGAAAGGACGTTCCCTTTTACCAGACATTGAAATGTAAAGCACCAGACGCAGGTCTTCCCAGAGCCCGCGCTGCTCATCCCGGTGAGGTGAGAAAGACCAGCAGAGAGAGAGGTCAAAAATCGCCTTCATCCCTCCAACTGAATGAAACTGCCTGCAAATCCGCTCGGCCGCGCCGATTTAGTTCCCAGCACACTCGCCCGGGCACCGGGGGCACGGAACCCCCCGGACAGGTGAACAGCACAACGAGAGGAAGCAGAAGTTATCAAAATATAAATCTCTTCGCACTTACTTCTTCCCTGTCGCCGTACCCTGGAGGCGTGCTGGCTGCCAATGTATTCCATAAAGTTCAAAGTGATAAAAAACCAAGAAATCAGTCGCAATTGCATAGTAACCCTTTGAGAGTTCCACTTCTCCTTTTCGTCCTTTTTTTCTTTCCTTAAAAAAAGAAATAATAAACCGGGGTGGTAGACTGCAAGGGATGAACACAGCAGCAGAAATACCTGCACTGAGATCCAAAGCTGGGCTTGGCCGGCTTGATGGCTTTTGCCTTTTTTTTTTTTTTTTTTTTTTTTTTTTTTTTTTTTTTTTTTTTTTTTTTTTTTTTTTTTTTTTCCTCTTCCCCTTCGCTTTTCCTATTGCACTTTCCAGCAGTCTGCCCCGCTACCTGCCGCAAACCTCAGAGGGCAGTCAGCAGCGGAGAGGAGCCGAGCAGCCGCCGCCGGGGTCCATGCCGGGCCGGTGGCCGGCAGCATGTTGTGAGGGTGCCGGGGTGCGTGCGGCTGTGCGCGCCCGTGTGTGCGCCGTGCGGGCGAGGTGCCGACAGGACGGATGGATGGATGGCGGTGGGAGAGGAGTGTGCGAGG